ATCGGGGCTAGAAAAAATTCCCTGTGTTCTAGGGGCAGCTGAATCTTTTATGCTCTGAGGTGAAGAGGCTCAGAAGATGAGTTGAACGGAAGGCATTCCTACTGAGTAAACCTATGCACCAGCGAGACAAGCTCTGGGACTGGGTACCATCTTTCTTCTGGCTCTTGTTAGGCATTGACTATTTGTTAGTCAGTGCTAAGAAGGGAGAGTATATAGCACATATAGGCTGGCCACTAGACTTGTACTTTGTACTGCCAGGCCTGTAGCTGGGGGTGGGGTGGGGGGAGAAAATCCCAATATACCCACCAGCATGAGGCCCCCAGGGGAGCCTGAGTCCCTGCTACTGGGACCTCACTGGGCCTCTGTGGACTGGAGGGCTGCATCACTGCTGCTTTGTTCATGGGCCTAAGAAGAATCCAAAAACTTACCTGGTAGCCAAGAAGCATCAGTTCATCATCTTGCTCCTGCTGGAGCAGTACCACCGTAACCAGTAAAAGTAGCAACTCCTGCTTTTCCTGGTGTGTTTCTTTCATGTGAGAGGACTGCCTAACCTCTGGTACCGGGCTCCTGGTAAGACGTAGAGAAGCATGAAAAGGGACAAAGTTGCAAATACTAGTGAGATCGTCAAATTCAGGCCATTCTTAAAATCTCAGCCTGTTAAGAGATTGGTGCCAGAAGCCCAAGATAGCAATGGGTGTTTCAGGGTACACAGAGTCCTGATGGACCAACAATCAACAGCAGGGAAATAATGCAAAGGACAGTTCTGACATCTAAACAAAAAAATCCAATTCACTGGCCCTTTAAAGAAAGGGACCACATCAAAGCCAAGTCCATGTGAAGGCCAGATGCAGCCAAACCTGACCTTGTTTCAATGATTTCGCAGATCCTGACATCAAAGATGGTGGTCTGTGGCTGATTTGGCACCAGTTCAGTAGACGCCGACGCTGCCGTCGCTGTGGAATGCCTCTGATGCCAAAGCAGCCCAAGCCGCGACGCAGGTCCCTGGCAGCCAAGTCGCTGGTTACCGAGCTGCCCTCAGCTGCGTCGGGAACCGCTGTGGGCTGCGTCACGAGAGCAGCACAGACTACGTGCGCTGCGTTTCAGAAGAGTTTCACGTTAACAGGCTTTTGAACTTTCTGCTGGTTTTTTTTCACCAAAATCCAGCTTTACTGACAACAATGACAACACACTTCATGGCTTACAGGAGCCAACTAATTCTGGACAGCCCATGACATCTCAAATCCTGGTTTTATCAACTTCATCCGTTCAAGCTGTGTTAGCAGGAGCTACTCTCAGCAATGTGGTTGTGTGACATTTAGCTGACTGATTCTCTGGTGCCTGTTTTTCACAAGCTGCACTAAAATCTCACTGTTGGTTCTGCCTAAAGGAGAGCTCTTTTAAAGTCAAATGCTCAATGTTTCTTTTGTTTTCAGGCTGTCATCTCATAAAGAGGTCGCATTGCAAAATCTTCCCTGAAACAAAGGTGATTTGATTTTTTTTTTTAAATTAGTTCATACATCCTCAGCAGTAAAGTTGAGAATAACGTAGCCCAAACATTTAGATCTACAGGACATTGCAGAACAGCAGCTCTTAGTCCGTCTTTGAGAAGTAAACTAACCTGAATTAGAGCACTATTAACCTTTAGAGCACCTCAATCATACTCCACCCATTCACTTGTGTATGGTTGTCAGGCTATTGTTTTACAAAATCCCGATGCTTTAGCTTGGCATTTGGACTGTATGTGCAGCATGGTACGGTAATACAACCCTCCCTGGCTTGTCTGCCCCAAATGCCCCTTTTTCCATAGTGTCTTCCCCATCCCATCAGCAGGGACATGCATAACATGCTCAAAATAGATTCAGATCTGATGCCTTAAGTGCAAGTCACCGTATAGAAGCTACCACACAGACCCTCTAAGACTGAAAGCTTGTCATGCACAAAGTTGAGTGCAAAAGGCACTTTGAGGTAGAGCTCACAACTGCCCAGGAAAGTAAAAAAATACTTTGCTCACAGGCAAATATTAACATTTCTTGAAAAAAAGATCTGCATCCCATGCTAGAACCGAAGTTGGAAGAAGTTGCTTAAATCCCAAGCCTAGAGTGACCTTGATTTTCATGGACAGGAAGTTTTAGAAAGACAGTAGCTTTGGTGGGGGGATACCAGAACTACCAGAAAACAAAGCCTGGGTGTTCTTACGGAGACAGGCTGCAGTTTACCACTTCTCTAGAGAGCATCACATCTCACCTCAGCGATCGCAACCTAGAGCCGCTGCCAAAAGGGCCTGCGGTCTCATCGTGCAAAAAACCCAGCAACCCCAGGAGAGGACCCTGGGAGAGCCTGGAGATCCTGGACACCTACCCGTGTCACGCTCCTCCCACAGCCAAACACCAAAGCTAAAGCTTAGCCTGGGCCAACTCCTTTGGCCCTTGAGGAACGAAACGTGAAGTGAGAGTGGCCG